GAGAGAGAGAGAGAGAGAGAGAGAGAGAGAGAGAGAGAGAGACCGGGTGAGGGAGAGACAGCTAGTGCGAGAGAGCGAGCCGGGTGGCTGTGAAGGCGCCGAGCGGGAGGAGGCGGCGGCGGCCCCAGGCAGAGGAGGAGGCAGAGCCGCCGGCCGGAGCCGCGGCGCCCGTAGCCGGGCCGGACCCCAGCCCCGGGGCGGGCGAGGAGGGGCGCACGGGCGCGACAGAAAGGGGGGCGCGCTGCGGATGGCCGAGCCCGGCCCGCGGGGGGGGTGAGGTCCGCGGTCCCCCCGCCCTCCCCCCAGCCCTCGCCCGCCCCCTCCCCGGCCCGCTCGCCCTCCGGGGCGGTGGGGCATGGCCTGAGGGTCCCCCGTGTACCGGGGGGGTGGGGGGTGGGGGGAGGGGGGAGGGGCCGCGGGCGCCGCCGACCGGGACTCAGCAGCCCCGCCAGGCAGGTAAGGGCACGGGGCACCCCAGGGGGTTTCTGGGGTAGGGTGCAGCTGCGAGAGCTGGGGTTGCGGGAGAGGGCGGGGGCGCCCCGGATGTCCTTGGCCTGGCGCCGGCTCCAGCCTGGGTGTGTATGGGGGGGGGGAGTGCGGGTGTGGAAGGGAGCGTGGCCCCTACGGGTGGCATCAAATTGGGTTGTGACCCAGTCCCGGGTGCCCCGTCCTAGATAGCATCCTTGCTGGGAGGGTGTGCCCCATCCCCCACGTGCTGCGCCCCCTAAGCCGTACTGGTTGGTCTCTTCAGGGCCACCACTGGGTCCCGGTTCCCGCCTCCCAACCCTGTTCGGCCACTCCCCCGCCTCGCCCACCCTGGCGAACCTGAGCCCCTCCCCTAGGTCACCCTGGTGCCCCAACCCCTCCAAGCCCAGGGTCTGGGCCAGAGCATCCTACGCCGCCTAGACCCGCCGCCCCTTACAGGCGTCTCCAGTTCCTTCCCACTCGCGCCTCGCGTGTCCATTGCACCTCCGGTCCCTTCTCCGTGGGTCGGCGCGCCCCCTCTGCTCCCGCCCCCAGTCCCAGCTCCCTCTCTGACCTGGGGCTGTCCCCTCACCAGCCTTCCTGCCTCAGCCCCAGCTCCCGCCTTCCTCAACCTCCATTCATTCTCCCGGGGCCCGGCTCCTGGCCACGCCAGCCATCCCCTGTCCCCCCGCAGCCTCGCAGGGCACCCCCTCTCTCCCCATCGCCAGCTCCCCCCGCCCCTTGCCGATCCCTCAGCCCGTCTCGGTACCAGCTGCGTGCCAGCTATTCTTAGCCGCCGAGCTTTTGATTCATGCCGCCCCGGCGGAGTGTGCCCGCTCCCTCCCTGAAGGCCGGAGGGGGAGGGGCCCGAGCTGTCCTGGGTGTTGGGGCAGTGGAGCCCGCGCTCTTGGTGCCTGGCCCATGCTGACCTTTCATCCCACCTGCCACCGGTTCCTGTAGAGCTGAGGCTGCAGAGGGGATGTCAGCCAGGGTCAGCCGAGGGGGAGTGGCTGAGGTCATACTGCCAGGTGGTATGTGGTGTAGGGCGGTCAGAGGATTGAACTGGAGGCCCGGAGTCTCCTCCGGAGCCCCGCAGGTTGGGCAACAGGGCCAAATGGGGCGTTGGGACTTCGGAGCTCGGGCCCCACGAGGGGGAGGGGTCCTCAGCCCGCGGTTAGATGCCTGCTCGCCTACAGTTCTTGGAACTCTCTTCCTTAAACATTTCGTCTTTCCTTCCCCAACTCTCCTCCCCCCAGCCCATCCCCACTCCCCCAAAGTCAGCAGTACCCTCCACTGCTTCCCATCTCCATGGCAACGGTGCAGGAGCCGGGCCTGGTGTGGGGTGGGAGGGACCAGACCAGACATTCTGCTTTCCGGTTCTAGAGTGGGGAGTGGGGGGTGGTGAACAGGAGAGAAGAGGACCGCATTTGGAAAGGAGCCACCCCTCAGGAGGCCACTTTGAGAGTGTTGACCCTCCCCACCTCCTGGTCCCATATGGCTGCAGTTCACTTCTTAGCCCTCTCCCCAGCCACCCCACCCAATCCAAGTTCTCCTCGGTGGAGGCAGCAGTACCAAACAGTGCCAACCCACCCACCCTGCTGTGCCAGCCCTGAAACACACCTACAGGTCACTCGCAGCAGCCCACGCCCACCCAGGCCACCACGGCTTGTCACCTGGACTGTTCCGCCTCCACCCACACATCCTCTTCATATGCCCCAGTAACCTCTCATAGGTCCCCTGGGTACAGCTCGGGGGAACTTCTCTTTTCTGTTCATCCACCCACATTTGTGTCCCTCGATCCCCTCCAGGGACAGCTCATTCCCCAGCAGCCCTCCAAACGTGGTCAGCCACACTTCAGTGAAGTCACCAGCTCTCGGGCACCTCCTGCTGCCCCAGGCTCAAAACTCACACCTCCATCTCGCCTTTACTATAAAAGTCAGTCTTAGCCTCCCTGGGGTGAAGAGGCCAGGCTCTGGCCAGGAGGGCAGGATACTGGGGTGGATTGGTCCACCTGTCCGTCCTTAGCTAATTTTAGCTTCATTTTCTGTGGCTTGACAAAGTGGGCCAGTAGCTCCCGTGGTGATTCTGTGATTTCTGGGACACACTGGGTCAGAAGCAAAGTGGAGCGCAGGGGGGTGGGGGCTGCAAGCAGGGCCAAGGACAGGGAGGAGAAGGGTGCCAGGAAGGCTGCAGAGGTGGTGTGAGCTTGTCTGTGCAGAGGCCTGAGGGTATGTATGTCTAGTCTCCCTTGCCTCCCAGGGCAGAGGGAACGGGCTTCCACTGTGTCTGTCACTGAGTGATACTCTGAGTGGCTCTCCACTGAGGGTCGTCTTTGCCTTGCCCAGCTGCCTGTGATGCTGCTGTCCCCCGTCGCCCCGTGGCCCCACAATGACCCACAGCCCCGCGACAAGCGAGGACGAGGAACGCCACAGTGCCAGCGAGTGTCCCGAGGGGGCCTCAGAATCCGACAGCTCCCCAGACGGGCCAGGGAGAGGCCCCCAGGGGACTCGGGGCCGGGGCAGTGGAGCACCTGGTAACCTGGCCTCTACCCGAGGCCTCCAGGGACGCTCCATGTCTGTCCCTGACGACGCCCACTTCAGCATGATGGTTTTCAGGATTGGCATCCCGGACTTGCACCAGACGGTGAGTGGCTAATCACCTGTCAGCTGATAGACATATTGACCAAGTCTCTTTTCCCACACCCAATCCCAGCTCCAACTGGACTCTACTCCTTTTCCAACCTACCCTTCACCCTCAGATTCTTGACACAACCTAGTCCTGGCCATCCTATCTCCCACCAGAAATGCCTGCGCTTCAACCCCGACGCCACCATCTGGACAGCCAAACAGCAAGTGCTCTGTGCCCTGAGTGAAAGTCTGCAGGACGTGCTGAACTATGGACTGTTCCAGCCGGCCACCTCAGGCCGGGATGCCAACTTCCTGGAAGAGGAGAGGCTGCTGAGAGAGTACCCCCAGTCCTTTGAGAAGGGGGTACCCTACCTGGAGGTGAGGCCACAGAACTCTTAACAGAAGTCATGCCCCGGAACATATCCACTATGATTCCAAGAGAACCCCAGTGGGCTCTTCAAGATTTCCTGAGAACTTATAGGAGAGAGATCCTGAGTCCAAATCACCAGCTGAGTTGCCTCCTTCCTCCCCTAAGCTCTTTATACTATCAACTGGTGAGGGAATTCCAACTACAGTAGTTATTCTAGAACATTCAGTGTATGTAGGGGTTACTTACAAGGTAGGGGTTATAGTGCAATAGACCTTGATGGCCTGGTACTCCTGGAAAGGTCACCCTACCTAGGGCCATTTCCATGCTAACCCTAAGCTCATCCTGGGAGGAAGGGAGGAACACTGACATTATTCCCCAGCAAGGACTCTAATAACGAATCTGTGTCTCCTCATACCCAACCCCTGGTCTCAGTTCCGCTACAAGACACGAGTCTACAAACAGACCAACCTAGATGAGAAACAGCTGGCCAAATTGCACACAAAGGTGAGTGCCCTGGCATAGACCTTCTCTGGGTGTGCCCCCCAGAGCGCCTTTCCATCACCTTCATAGTCAGTATTTCCCCAGCAGCTCTCCCCTCTGCCAGCCCCTCAGTTACGCCAAGTCCTCCATTTAACTTTGAATTCTGTTTGGAGACACCCATTTATCTCCATCATAACCCCTCCCACTTCCCTTTATGGCCTCCCCTGCCCAGGGCAATGCTATCTGCTTGGTGTGTGCATTTGTAGGAGGGGTGGTGGAGGTGGTGGTGGTGATGGTGGTGGTGGTGGTGATGGTGGTGGTGATGGTGGTGGTGGTGATGGAGGTGGTGGTGGTGGTGGTGGTGGTGCTGGTGGTGGTGGTGATGGTGGTGGTGCTGATGGAGGTGGTGCTGGTGGTGGTGGTGCTGGTGGTGGTGGTGATGGTGGTGATGGTGGTGGTGATGGTTGTGATGGTGGTCATGGTGGTGGTGGTGGTGGTGGTGGTGGAGGAGGAGGAGGAGGAGGAGGAGGAGGAGGAGGAGGAGGAGGAGAAAGAGGAGGAGATGCATATGTGGAGGCCAGAGGACAGTGGACAATTTGGGGAAAGTCCGTTTCTCTTTTCACTATCTGAATCCTGGTAAAGGAACGCGTGGTCAGACATGGTGGAAAGCACCCTTATCTGATGAGCCATCTCATTGGCCACACCTTACCTTTAATACAGTCCTTTACTGGTCTGAGGCTCACCATGTAGGCCAGGCTAGCTGACCTGGTTGCCCCAGGGATATGCCTGTCTCCACCACTCCCTGTACCCGGATTTCAAGTACACACCATCACCCCTAGCTTTTTCAACGCAGGGTCTCACGCTTGCATGACAAGCACTTTACTCCTAGCTCTTCAGCCCATCTTTAACTCTGCCTTCTCTGCTCAGAAGCACTTAGGGTTCTGCCTGGGTAGCATTTCATAGACACCCACAGTTCCCTGCTCCTATACCTCCATCAAGCACACACTCTGACTTTCCTTTCCAGCCACATTTATTCTGTTGGGTGCTTTCCCTCCAGACCTTGGGTGATATATCCCCTGTGTCTGCCCTGGTCCCTAGGAGCTGGGAGGAAGTTAGCAGGCTGATGTGGCCAGAGAGAAGCAATTCTTGACATTTAGTGGGAAGAAACTTCCTTCTTTTTTTCCTCCCCAAAGCTTCTCTGTCCCACACCGCCCATTCTCCTCTCCTCTGTCCACACCGTCCACTCTCCTCTGTCCCACACCATCATCTGTTCACATCTTTCCTTCCCTTTGTGCCTTCTCCCTCCCTCCGTCCCTCCCTCCCTCCCTCCCTCCCTCCCTCCCTCTCTCCCTCCCTGTGCCAGCCACTCTGGAAGCCAGTGGCCATGTGCAATTCCACTGTGTCTTTTTTTAGATTTATTTTATTTTTAATTTTGTATGTGTATATGTGTGGGTATGTGCATATGAATGGATGTGATCCAGGAAGCTAGTAGCATCAGCCCCCCCCCCCGCCCCGGTGTTGGAGTTATCTGCCATTGGTTGGTGCTGGGAACTGAACTCAGGTCCTCTGTAGGAGCAGCACGCACTCTGAACAGCTAAGCTGTCTCTCTCTAGCCCCCATGATATATATATATATATATATATATATATATTTACTTATTTATTTGTTGTGCATGTCTGGTTTTGGGGTAGAGATGGCATGTTAATGTTACCGATCACATGTGGAGGTCAGAGGAAAATTTGTAGAGCTCAGTTTTCTCATCTCGTGTGTTCTGGGGATCAGACTCAGGTTGGTAGGCTTGGCTGCATGCACATGATATTTTAATTGTTTTCTTCTGGATTGGATGTGGAACCAGTAACAGTAGGGATGTATTCCTTTAAGAACGTGTGTAACCAGGGTAGATTTCAACACAGTGCACAGCTCCCCTTTGTCATGGGGCTTTTACTGCTGTGAAGAGACATCATGACCACAGCTACTCTTTCAAAGAAAAGCATTTCATTGGGGCTGGCTTACAGCTCTGAGGTTTAGTCCATTATTGTCATAGCAGAAAGCATGGTAGCACACAGGCAGACAAAGTGCTGGGTAGATAGCTGAGAGTTCTACACCCCGACTGGCAAGCAAGGAAGAGACAGCCACTGGACCTGGCTCGAGCTTCTAAAACCTCAAAGCCCGCCCTCAGTGACACAACTCCTCCAATAAGGCCACTCCCTGTGAGCCTATAGGGACCATCTTCATTCAAACCACCATACCCTTCTATTTTAGAATATTACTTTTAAGACAGGGTCTCACTACATAGCTCAGGCAGCCTAGAACTCGTCATCTTCCTGTCTCTGCCCCCAAATGCTGAGATGACAGGCACAACCCGCCACACCAGACTTCCTGTTTGCCTTGGGAAGGTGCTGGCTGTGTACTCCCTGGGTGCTGTGTCTGATTGTTGCTTTCTTCACTTGTTCCCAATCTCCCTGATTCCCCTGTCTTTCTTTGTACACGATTCAGACGGGGTTGAAGAAGTTCCTGGAATATGTGCAGCTTGGGACGTCTGACAAGGTGGCGAGGCTGCTGGACAAGGGGCTGGACCCCAATTACCATGACTCAGATTCAGGAGGTAGGAAGAGGTGTGGGCTGTGAAGGACTGGGCTGAGGAGCAGCGTTGGGTAGAGAGGCCAGGGACACACCCCAGCTAGGAGACCAGGGGTGGAGTCTAAGGGCTGGCGGCCCGAAGTTCTGCCTCTGAGGATCTGCTCTTGCCCTTCAGAGACACCTTTGACCCTGGCGGCCCAGACGGAAGGCTCAGTAGAGGTGATTCGAACGCTGTGCCTGGGTGGGGCTCACATAGACTTCAGAGCCCGGGATGGCATGACAGCGCTGCACAAGGCTGCCTGTGCTCGGCACTGCCTGGCACTCACGGTGAGGCTGCCGGAGTCCCCAGATGGGGACCCTTCCTCCTTTCCTGTTTATGTTCAGAAGATCCCTTGTCAGCCAGGTCTGAGGTACACGCCTGCAATCCTAGCGCTCAGGGATCCAAGGGTGGCCTAGGTTACCTGAGACCCTGTCTCACTGCCCTCCAGCCCAAATGGTACCTCTGCGTCCCCACTACACCATCAGATTCTGTACACTGACAGATACACAGTTCCCGCTGTCCGCCTGTCAGGTGGCCCAGCTTAGTGAAGCTGGTTGTGACTCAGCCTCTTCCCTGGGCACTCAGAATGGCCCCCTTCCCTCTGTCCAGCCAGTGTGCACCCTACCTCTGCCTCTCCAAATACCTACCTTTAAGGTTTAAAACATAGAGAGTGAGTTCCTGCTACTCAGGGAGACCATCACCACGCACACCCTGGGTTTGTTCCTGTGTTCATCCTAGCCTAGTCCTTCATCTCCCAACACATCTGTCCTCTCACAGGCCCTTCTCACACCAAAGACACAAAACACACTTCCCCCCAAACAGGTGTGGTGGCGCAAGCCTGGCATCTCAGTGCTTGGGGGGTAGAGGAAGGAGGATGAGGAGGAGTGGAAGGTCAACCTTGACTACATAGTGCGTTTCCGGCTAGCATGGGTGTCATGGGCCTCTCGCAACAGAGAAACAAAATGTGGTTTTCCAAACAAATAAGCCCTATGTGCCCACAAAATGCACAGAGCGAATTTGTGTGCAGTTTTCATTTGTGGTGTGTGTGTGTGTGTGTACAAGTGCATATGTGTGTAACCCACAAGCAGGCATATACGAATGTGACACTCAGAGGACAGCCTTAGCTATTGGTCCTCAGGAATTAGCCACCACATTTCTCCACTGGAGAACCAAGGGAGCTTTCATTGGCGCCTAGGGCTCCCAGTTAGGCTAATCTGGCTGACCAGGAATCCACCTGCCACTGCCTCTCCCGTGTTGAGATTGCAGCCGTGCAACACTTTCCCATGGATCACTGAGATCACACTCAGATCTTCATGTTTGCATGGGCCCTCCAACCCCGTAGCCCTGCCCTTGCGTGCAGCCTCATTTTAAATACTCTCTCTTCTGCCTCTGCCAGGGCACCTGGTCTCTCTTTTGGCACTGGCTACTCCCAAAGATTGAGACACATGCATGTGCACAGGTGCCCCAGTTCAGTGACCCATCCCTCTTAGATCACCCTTTCCCAAAGAGCCCCTTGGTGTAGCCAAACATTGGCATGAAGAATTGGTGTTTATAGCCAGAACTAATGGATACTCATGTACCTCTGTGTGTTTCCAGATCTTTGCTATCAAGTCCCCTAACCACTGGCCACACCAGGGTGTTTAGATTTAGCATAATTAAAATGGAATAAAATTAAAATCACACTTCCGTGGACTCGCTAGCCCCAGTCAGGTACTTATCGCCCCCCTGTGGCCATCATGTTGAATGGCACCACATGTCACTGTAGCGTCCTACCACACAAGGGCTTCTGTGGAGCTGTCTACACAGGGGCAGCTCTCATCACTTGATCTTTTTTTTAAATATTTATTTATTTATTATGTATACAATATTATGTCTGTGTGTATGTCTGCAGGCCAGAAGAGGGCACCAGACCTCATTCCAGATGGTTGTGAGCCACCATGTGGTTGCCGGGAATTGAACTCAAGACCTTTGGAAGAGCAGGCAATGCTCTTAACCACTGAGCCATCTCTCCAGCCCCTCAAAACTTGATCTTAAACTTCGCCTTTTTCACCCTTTCTCTCTTTCCCCTAGAACCCCCACCCTCAAGGAGGCTGTCTCAAACTTGAGTTTACCCCAGCCTTGCCTTTCCCAGGCTTCCTTTTGTGGGTGTCTGTGTAGTGCTCCCACACTTGGTCAGGGGCGTTCTTAAACTTAGACCCCATTCTTACCTGTATTAAAAGGCCCAAGGCTGTGGCCACCCTCCAGTGGCTCACCAACCATCACCCCCTAGAGAAAGGGTGAGCCACATGTCAGAGTGAGAGGGTCCTCTGAGGGCATCTGCCTCGTCTTCTCATTGTCTCTAAAACTGTCACAGGGGCTGGAGAGGTGGCTCTGTCAGTGGAGGGCTATGCAAGCGTGAGGACCTCAGTTACAAGTTCTAGCAAACAAGCAGAAAAGCAGAGTGTGGCGCCACGTGCCTGTAATCTCAGTGCTGGGGAGGCAGAGACAGGAGGATACCTGGGCCTTGCTGGCCAGCTTTTCTTTCTTTTTTTTTTTAAAGATTTATTTATTTATTATATATACAACATTCCTTCCATGTATGTTTACATGCCAGAGGAGGGCACCAGATCTCATTATAGATGGCTGTGAGCCACCATGTGGTTGCTGGGAATTGAACTCAGGACCTCTGGAAAAACAGTCAGTGCTCTTAACCTCTGAGCCACCTCTCCAGCCCCTGGCCAGCTTTTCTATGTGAATTGGTTTGCTTAAGGTTGAGTGAGAGACTCTGTCTCAAAGAATAAAGTGGAGAACAATTGAGGAAGATATTTAGATATTTAATATCGACGCCTGGCCCCCTCTACACACACACACACACACACACACACACACACAAACACACACACACACAAGCATCAGAGCAGAAATGACACAGGTGTGAGCCTGTATGGCCCATTTAAGGCTCACCTCCCTATCAGCGTCTTAGAACTAGAGCTGCCTTCTGTCCTTTCTTCCTGAGTTGTCTGTCCCTCCTTAGGCACTTCTGGACCTTGGGGGCTCCCCCAACTACAAGGACCGCCGAGGGCTGACCCCCCTGTTCCACACAGCTATGGTGGGGGGTGACCCCCGCTGCTGCGAGCTACTTCTGTACAACAGGGCCCAGCTGGGCATTGCGGATGAGAACGGCTGGCAGGAAATCCACCAGGTATCCAGATTCAGTCCCGAGCACTGGGGAGAGCTTGGATACCTGGGCTTTGCAGCATCCAAGGGCTGGGATGCAAAAGAGATGGCAGAGTTCCTTACAGAGAGGAGAGTGAAATAATCAGAGTCCTCACAGAAGAAAAGGTAAAAGGACTCGGAGAATAGATACATGGAGAGGCTGGGTGCTTGTTTCACTTGAAGGGCCAGCCTGGGTATTTATACATTGGAGTAACTGAATGCTTAGAGACAGAAAGTTAATGGCCTGGGTCCCAGAACAGGAATCAGGGCAAAAAAAAAAAAAAAAAAAAAAAAAATAGAAGAGGATGCGGATACAGTCTTCTGTCCTCAAGGGAGAGGGCCTTGGAAGAGTTCAGATGAGGTCTAATCGGGCCTCTCCACTCCCTGTCCCCTAGGCCTGCCAACGGGGCCACTCTCAGCACCTGGAACACCTGCTCTTCTATGGGGCTGAACCTGGAGCCCAGAATGCCTCAGGAAACACAGCCCTGCACATCTGTGCTCTCTACAACAAGGTCAGCCCCAGAAACATCTACCTGCCCCTTCAAAGACATGCTCCACAGTTCACTCAAACCTCCTAGCTCTGCAACCTCTGTTCATTCAGTTTCTACCCACCTGTCCGTCCATCTACCCATCCATCCATCCATCCATCCATCCATCCATCCATCCATCCATCCATCCTGTCTATCCACTCACTTCTCCGTATACCTACCCATTCACCCATCCGCCCACTCACCCACCTATAATCCACCTCCACACCCAGCCATCTACAAACCTATCCACTCATTTACCCACCCACCTACCTACTCATCCACCCGTAATCCAATCATCTTCTGTTGACTGAGGTTTCTGTCCTGCCCAGTTCCCGCAGTTGTTAAGTCCCAAAGAAATCACACAGAGGTCTACATTAGTTATAAACTGATTGGCTCATTAGCTCAGGCTTCTTATTAACTAATTATTATAACTTACATTAGCCCATAATTCTTGTCTATGTTAGCCACGTGGCTTGGTACCTTTTTCGGCGAGGCAGTCACATCTTGCTTGCTCTGTGTCTGGCTTCCTCTGTGTCTGGGTAACAACTGTAGACTGAGTCCTCTTCCCAGAATTCTCCTGTTCTCATTGCTCAGCCTCTACTTCCTTCCTGGCTATTGGCCAACCAGCATTTTATTAAACAAGTACAAGAAACAAATCTTTACGGGGTAAAACCATTGTCCCACAGCACACCCCCCCATTCTGAGCTAATGAGCGGGACAGAAAACCTCAGTCAAAAATCATCCAACTACCTATCCACTCACTTGTCCATCTCTCTGTCTACTCATCTATCTACCCTTCATCCATCCACCTACCCATCATCCATTCAGCTATCTGTCCATCCATCCACCCACCCACCCTTCATCCATCCAGCTATCTGTCATCCATCCATCCATCCATCCACCCACCCTTCATCCATCCAGCTATCTGTCCATCCATCCACCCACCCACCCTTCATCCATCCAGCTATCTGTCCATCCATCCATCCATCCATCCACCCTTCATCCATCCAGCTATTTGTCCATCCATCCATCCATCCACCCACCCACCCATCATCCATCCAGCTATCTGTCCATCCATCCATCCACCCACCCACCCTTCATCCATCCAGCCATCATCCGCCCATCTACCCATCATATTTAATGAGTTTTTCCCCTGTGTCTGGCTCCAAGCTTTATACTGAGCTGCTGGTCTAATCCTAGGTGTTCAGTAAAGTTATGGAGAACATGTTCCCCTGGGATCCACATCTGGACTTGGCTGGAGGTGGCTTTCTGAATGAGGTCAAGACAGCAGGGGCAGATGAGGGGGAAAAGAGTGCTCCAGGAGGGGAGCATAAGCTGTGCAAAAGACAGGCTGCTGAGCAAGGGGGTCCTTTGCAGGGGACAGAGGAATGAGAAGTGTTGTATTTTCAGCAATTCAATTTTGTGGAGGGTCCCCTCTCCAGGAATTTAGGGGAGAGATGAGCTGTAAAACAGAGGTAAGGGTCTCACCAAATGGAATCCTGTCAGCAAGAGCTAAGGCCCCTTTGCCGCCCGAGTACCAAGAGACCCCAGATGAGCCAGGCCCCTTGGAGCTCCAACCTCGGTTCTCCGAGATCCTTGCCCTTGAAGAGCTGCTTGGGGGACTTCAGGGTAGGGAGGACAACACCTGCTGGGATGCTGCTGATCTGCCCCCCCTTCCTCCAGGAAGTCTTCCAAAACAGCCCCAGCCCCTTCTGCCTCCTGAGAACTCTCAGTGCTGGGGATATGGCGGGTATCCAAGTGCCGCCTTGTAGCAGTGAGCAGACTGCTCAACGCCAAGGGAAGACTGGTGTTTCTCAAACCCAGCAATATCGTGCTGGCATTTCCTTCCCGCTCGCCTCTGCTTTCTCTACTGCTCCTCATGCAGGCCTCTGGGCCAGGACCTCTGACTGGGAGGCAGGTGCTTTGATGGAGAGAAAAAAAGACCTGGCCCCACACAGCCAGGAAGACCCTGGCTCCTTCCACTTTCTGAGACTTCGTCCTCCCTGAAAAGGCACTCATGTCAGCTGATTGGAAAGGATGAGTGATTGTGTACATGAAGTATTCATCCCTAGAATACAGCCATGATAATAATTGTTATTATTAGTATCATCACCAGTGTCAATTGCCAGGATGTGGTCAGAAGGCTGACGTTCATCTGAAAGGGAAAATTGAGTACAGAGAATTATACAGCAGCCACTATTCCCCAGAGAGGACCAGATGAGCATATTGTTTTGCTTTCTTCAGCTCCCCCACCCCATTTCCTGCCATCTGTGAAATGGGTCAGTCATGAATATCTTTCAAAGGATCAAGCAGGTGAACACTTTGCTTGCTATCAGATCAAGTAGATGCTTAGCAAATGTGAGTTCATCTTCTACTTTTCACCCCTGTCTTCTCTCTGCTTATCCTAGTCAGCCAGCCACCCATAGACACATCAGTGCACCCATCTACCACACACCTATCCATCACCCACCCATCTACACATTTATCCTCACACACCCCATCCACCCAACAACCCATTCATCCGTCCATCCACCTTCTCACCACCCATCCCCTTCACTCATCCTCATCTATTTACACAACACCAGTGCATCCACCCATCAATACACACACACACACCCATCCACTTACCTACCTATCTACTACCAACCCATCCATCCATTCATCCATCCATACATACATACATACACCCACCCATCCACCCACACATCCATCCACCCACCCATCCACTTACCTACCTATCTACTACCAACCCATCCATCCACCCATCAATACACACACCCACCCATCCACTTACCTACCTATCTACTACCAATCCATCCATCCATACATACATACATACATACATATACACATACACACACCCACTTACCTACCTATCTAGTACCAACCCATCCATCCATCCGCCCATCTGTCTGTCCACCCGTTCACTTTTCCACCCATCCGTCTTCTGGCAAAGGTCAGGTTCCCTAGGCTGTGAGCCTCTCAAGGGTGGGGACAGGATCTGGTAGGTTCTGGTTCTGTTCCAAGCCCCCAGAACATAGTACTTCTTTTACACCCAAGCACCCATTCCTGCACCCACCTATCCATCTATTTATATATCCATCTGTCCGTTCATCCACCTATCTGGGCTGGGTCTGACTGTCACTCCTACTGTCTGTTCCCTTGGCCCTGTAGTTTGCACAGACCGGTCCTAGACTGTGAGTCTGTCTCAAAATGGGGATAGGATTTCAAAGACTGCTCTGTCCCAAGCCCCCAGAAACAGTATCCTTGCTCCTTCTGGGAGATGAACGAATGCACGGCTGACTGAGCGGATGGTGGAGCTGTGGATCTCCACCAGAAGTGTGAGCAGCTCAGGACTGAGAACTCTGGACAGGTGGCTGCTGCTTTTGACAGATTGAATGACTCAACTACTGAATGAATAATTGAGTGACTAGAGCAAATGAGTTTTGATTGACAGCTCCACATTCTCCATCTTTATTTCTTCCAAGTGTATTTCTTGAGCACCTACTGTGTGCTTGGTGCCAGTTCTGGGGATGGGAGATAACTCAGGTGCCCAGGAAAGGTAGAGGAAGCTTTCAGTTGGGTGAATGTTTAAACAAATAATCAGAATCCCATGAGATAAGTGCTACAAGATTCTCCAGGTGTCCAGTGGAGGGAGCTACTCACTAAAATGTGGGCATTTAAACTTGGTCAGACATGGGATAAAGTACGGTGCTGTGAATCACACTGTGATAACCCCATGCCCCTCGAACATGCAAAACATATATATATGACAGCATGGGATCCGTGGTTATACGTGCTTACACACAAAACAACCAGAACGCAAACTGCACTTGCAGGAAGTGATGTTAGCAGTCAGACCCAGACAGACAAACACCAGCATCTGAAGGCCAGGTTCATACCCCACCTGCTCCAGGAACTGGCTGCAAGGGTTTAGGCACAAATTTTGCCTGCTCTGATCCCATCCTGCAGAACAGGCCTGTATCAAGTACAAAGTATCCACTTAAGTGATTCCCGTAGAAGGTATGTTAAACAGAGGCACTAGAAATTCACATTCAAGGGAGCCAGAGTGGAGTGGAACCACAGGCCAGTGTGGGTTTGTCCCGGCTAAGACAAAGGCCAGATTTCCCCACTGAGTAAGTGTCCCTGGGTAGTTCCTGTGGGCTGCACACTGCTGTCGGAGGCTGGGGTCACAGACAGAACCTTTGTGTGACGTACCATAGAAGACAGAAATACAGAATACGGGATGTCTGGCATATGGTGTTTTGAAGGAAATGGGTTAATATTGGCTTAGAAGAATACTAATCCATGCAAGAGAGTTCTAGAGAGATAGGAGGAAGGGATATGTGAAAAATTCCTGCCAGCACTCAGGAGGCTGAAGAAGATTGTCATGCATTTGAGGCCAGCCTGGGCTGCACAGCGAGGAGCAGGCTATTCTGAGACCCTGTCTCAAGCAGACAGCAAAGGGTAGGGCAGTGAGGGAAGGGCTCTCTGAAAAGATGGTTCGGTATAAAACCCAAATAAAATGAGAGCTACTGTGTAGGAATTGATGGATGGAGAATTCCAAGCTGCTCTTTAGAGTGCAAAGGCCCTTGAGCAGAAGGGTGCCTGCTATGGGGAGGAAGTGGCCAGCCAGGTTGGAGAAAGGGACTGTGATAAGCACTGAGGTCGGGGCGGGAGAGCTAAGTGGGTTGTTTGGGTGAGGTTTTGGGGGTCATTTCAGAGATCTAGTTTAGCACAGAGGGAGGGAGAGCTAAGTGACTGACGGGGCTCTGTATGTCCCCCCTGTCTCCCACCTGACCTCCACCCTTGACTCTGTGTGCTATTCCTTCTGAGCCTCACAGAGAGTGCCACTAAGACAGACGTGGGAGACTGCGGTGATGGATCAAAGCTTAAAGGCATTTGCATGTCAGCAAGAAGGCCTAAGTTCAAATCCCAAGAACCCATGTAAAACAGGCATGATAGCGTGACTGTGTAATCCCACTGCTCCTACAGGGAGATGGGAAGTAGAGACAGGGACATCCCCCGAAACTCATGGACCTGCTAGCCCGACATAGGCAGCATCAAGCGAGGGACCTTTTCTCCAGCAAGGTGGAAAGCAGTGTTGTCTTCTGACCCCCACATCGCATAGTCACCCACAGGAACACATACACACATTGTTCCCACACACAGACACACATGCACAAATGCAGACCTGGAGTGGAATCTGAGGCCAATCAGTGACCTTGAATGTGCAGAGAGCTTAGCCTCCCCAGCTGGGAGACAAGTGCAGTGATTTCTGTCGGGCCACTCAGTGAGCTCCCTTCTGAAGTTCAGCTCCTGACACACAAGACAAGGAGCCCCTCACAGAGCCGAGGGCTGCTTCTGGCTTAGCCACATCTTAAGCCCAACCACCTTAGCAGGAGGCAGCTGCTGGAATCTGGCGGGAGAAACCAGAGAGCTACTATCACTTCACTAGGAAGCAGCATAAAACAACTAGAGATGGATTTCTCGCAAGCTAAGTCCACGAAACTGCCCATTTATTTATACATCTTGTGCTGGAGATGGAGCCCAGGACTTTGCACATGGTAGGCAGACGTCCTACCTGAATCACACCCCAGCCCCTCACTGGGGGATTCCAGGCAGGGACTCTACCACTGGTCTGCATCACAAGTTCACTTTTTACTTTTTATCTCAAGACAGCGTTTTGCTAAGTTGCCTGAACTGGTCTTGATCTTGTAATCCTTCTGACCTAGCCTCCCAAATGAACTAGGATGAGAGATGTGAGTCCCCAGGCCTAGCTTCCCAGTGTACTCTAGACACATAGTCCAGCTCTCCCTGGGACTGCCACAGTGCCAAGAGGCTGCTCTCCTGGCTAACGCTAGTTTAGGTCGGCGTGTTACTCATGCTAACTAACTTACTGTTCCTTTCCTTCCCTCCTGGACCACCGCTGTCCTTTTCAGGAGACCTGTGCCAGGATCCTCCTCTATCGTGGAGCAAACAAGGATGTGAAAAATAATAACGGACAGACACCCTTCCAGGTCTGGGCTTCGGAACTGAGGCAGGGGACACAGAGGACGAGGGGACAAGAGGAAGGGCAGTGAGGAAAGCTGCAAGGGAGCATGGTCTGGGAGAAGGGACAGGGTCAGCTCAGTGGAGTGGCTTAGCTTTCCTGTCCCTGCTCACTGCTGAGCAGCCACCTCCCTGTCCCCCTCCTACAGGTGGCTGTGATTGCTGGGAATTTTGAGTTGGGGGAACTGATCCGTAACCACCGGGAACAGGATGTGGGTGAGTGAAAAAGAGCTGGGATGAAGGAGGAGCTGAGGGTTCATGTTGGGGTCACAGACTTGGTGGCCCGATTGAAGGGTGTCAGGGTGGGACACAGACTCCGCAAAGTTTCAAAATTGCCTGAGGAGGGGAGAGGGAATGACTCAGCACCGCCCCTCCCCCATTTCTGGTCTCCCGCGCCTCTTGCCCTCGCGGTCCCTCCCTGCTTCTGTTTCCCCATCCCACCTGCCTGGCCCTGACCGCCACTCCTCATGCTTCTGTTTCCCCATCCCACCTGCCTGGCCCTGACCGCCACTCCTCACTTTCAGTGCCCTTCCAGGAGTCCCCCAAGTATGCAGCCCGCCGTCGGGGACCCCCGGGTGCAGGGCTGACTGTACCCCCAGCACTGCTGAGAGCTAACAGCGACACAAGCATGGCGCTGCCTGATTGGATGGTGTTTTCGGCCCCAGGGGCCTCAGCATCTGGGACCCCTGGCCCTACCTCAGGACCCCAGGGCCAGTCACAGCCCTCGGCCCCCAGCACTAAGCTCAGTAGTGGGACCCTCCGAAGCGCCAGCAGCCCCCGAGGTGCCCGGGCACGCTCCCCATCCCGAGGGAGACATCCTGAAGATACCAAGAGACAGCCTCGAGGCCGCCCCAGGTAGGTGGTACTCAGGTCCACAGCCGCCGGCCCAGCCCATTCCAGCACCCACACAGTCAGCCCAGCTGCTCACCTCCTGTCCCAAGGGTGGCGGTCCCGTACACACCTGTATCTCTCATTGTCTCATGGGTAAAATGACCATGTTAGGGATGCCTGGCCTCACTGCTGGCATGGGCTAAGCGGGACACTAGAAGAAATAGCTTACAGCCTATGAGCACAGACAGATGGCAGCGGGCAAGAGGAGAGAGGAAAGAGCAGGAAGAGGGGATTGGGTTAGATAGGGGCTTTGGGAATAATGTCCAAGGCTGTTCAGGAGTTCAGGGAGAGGAAGCTGAGAGCCAAGGGAGCAGGAGAGGGGACCGTTCTTTGGTAAGAATGCCAGGGAGAGAGGGAGGCCCACGAGGTGTGCCCCTGGAGAAGGCTAGGAGCAGTTGGCCGCGGCCTTGGACCTGCCCCAGGAGGAGGCTAGGAGTCTCTGAAGGGAAGCTCAAGAGCTGGAGGATGTACCGGCACAGGTTCAGGAAGCTGAATCAGGCTGTCTGTGCAGACCGTGGGAGGGGTGGAACTAGGAGTTTGAAGACAGGAGATGGGGTGCAGCTGGTCTCCCAAGGATACCAGAACTTGGAAAAGCGGTACCTGTCCCTGCCCTGACTGTCCCCAGAAATGCCCTCTACTCTCCCTGCCTCTCACCACTTCTGTGTTTGCAGCTCCAGCGGGACACCCCGAGAAGGGCCGGCTGGGGGAACTGGGGGCTCTGGGGGCCCTGGGGGCTCCCTGGGCAGCAGAGGCAGACGTAGGAAGCTCTATTCAGCGGTACCCGGACGCTCCTTCATGGCGGTGAAGTCATACCAGGCTCAAGGAGAAGGGGAGATCTCTCTGAGTAAAGGCGAAAAGATCAAAGGTGACAGGGTGTGGCTGGGTGGGTACAGGGTGAAGGGACTCTCTCGCTGGGGACCCGAGAGACCCCTGAGAGGTCCCTCTGGCTTGGAGGAGAGGGAGGCACTGTATGGGACAGTGTCAGGAGGAAGAGACTGACTGAGTTTTGGAGGAACATTGATTGAAATGTGGTGGGCCTCATGGGAAGTTCTTGGGTTTTTTTCTTCTTTTTGTGTGTATGTATGTTTATGGTGTGTGGTCTTGCATGTGTGCAAGAGTGTTTGAATCTGTGTTGGCACATGTGCATACTGGTGTTTGTGCACATGTGTAGTGTGTATGTCGAGGCCCGAGGCTGACATTGGGTGCCTTCCTCAATCCCCTCTCCACATTGTTTTCTTGGGACAGAGTCTCTCACTAAACTCAGACAGGCTGGCTACCCAGCAAGCTCCAAGAACCCACTATCTCTGCTTCCTGATCTGGGCCTTACAGACACCCACAACTGTTCCTGGCATTTTATTTGGGTGCTGGGGACCCAAACTCAGGTCCTTGTGCTTACACAGCAGGCAGTTTACCAATGGGACCATTTTCTAGGCTCCTGGAACTTTTCTTCTTGAGGCAGGGTCTTATGTTTCCCAAGATCACCTCAAACTCACTTAGTAGCTCAGGTGAACCTTGAGCTTCTGGTTATCCTGCCTCCACCTTCTGAGTGCTGGGATTACAAGTGACCGTGCCCGGCCGTCTCTCAGGAGGCAGTGACTGTGGCCCACAGGATGCGGCCTTCACAGCATGGGTAGTGTGCCTTCCTGGGTAAATGGGCACCTGGACTTAGGGAACCATGTTGATGGGAATATGATTCATATCAAACAGAGGATAATTTTCTGCCGTATTCTTATCTACCCAGGAGCCCTCAGTGCAGCAGCTGAGCAGCAGGCTGTCTGAGCTCAAATCCTGGCCCACCACCTCTTAGAGGAAAGAGTTCTAGAAACCAACCTCTCTGAGCCCTGGTCTCACTGTCTTTAAAACAAGACTCTAGGGAGAATCATGAAAGTCACTAAGTCTCTTAGGTCAGTCTTTGGATGCTGTAAATGCTGCATAAAAGGCATCTTTCCTTCTCATGACCACTTAGAGAAAGACCAGTGATGGCTGGACAAGCATCCTTTCAGGGGACATAGATATGAGGAAGACCTCGAAGCTTGTTCAGATGTTTGCATCCAGAGAGTTGGATCTTAGGCAAGGTTAGGGAGGTGTGTGTGTGTGTGCGCGCGCGCGCGATATGTATCTATTATCCATCATGTATGTGTATAACATGTAACTTTTAATCTAGCCTACAATCTATTAGCTGTATCTGTATCATGTATTGTGTGTCTATCTATTTATCTATCATCTGTATATCTATCAATCCATTTATCTAGCAATCTATGTATCTATCAATCTTGAGGTAGGGTATCACGCTGTAGCCCAGCGTAGCCTTGAACTCATTCTGTAGCCAAGACTTGCCTTAACTATCAGCAGTCTTCTTGCCTCCACCCCCAAGTGCTGGGGTGATATACATGAACCAGCATGTTTTGGTTTCTAACACTCTCTACCATTTATGTAGAATATCCTTCCGTGGTCTCTTTGTGTCCTCAGCTATTAGGGTGTCTCAAGTTTCAGGGATATGTGGATGTCTTGTTCATTATTCAGTTCACTGTTTCCGTCCACCCCCCCCCCCGTTTTAAGAGGTATTTACTTGTTTATGTGTGTGTGTGTGTGTGTGTGTGTGTGTAGGAATATACATGGTGCCTATGCCTGTGTGAGTATGGAGCCATTGTCTGCCTATTTCTTTGAGGCAGAGACTAGGTTGAAAGCCAGCAAGCCCCAGCGATCCTTCTATCTCTACCCACCTTAGAACTGGGACTGTAGGCATGCATGGGACACCCAGTTTGTTACATGGGTTCTAGGTCCTGAACTCTGGTCCTAACGATTGCACACAAGTGCTCTTAACCACTGAGCCATCTCTCCAGCCCTACTTCCATTTGAGAGTTTGTATAGAGGTTCTGGCAGGGAGTGCTTATGTAGAAACCAGTTGAGTGAAGACAGGTTCTTCTCTACGGGAAAAGGTCGTTCTCTTAGACTGAGCGAGTGCACATTTCAGGAGGGATGCATGTGAGTGGTGAGGGAGGAAGGGGACACCTGGCCTGCCATCCCAGCCAGCCAGATCATCCAAATCAACCCTGGAAGCCAGTCCTTCACATCCACCTCCACTATTTTATTTTAAATCTTGATTTATTTTTAGTTTATATGTATGTATGATTCGTCTGCATAAATGTATGTCCCATGTGCATGCCCAGTGCTACGGAAGTGAAAAGAGGACATCAGATCCCCAAGAACTGGAATCACCATTGGTTGTGAGTCGCTGTGTGGATGCTGAGACTAGAACCTGGGTCCTTTGCAAGAGCAGTCAGTACTCTTAACCTCTGGGCCAACTCTCCAACCCCCACATCCCTGTTTTTTGAGACAGGTGTCTACTATGTAGCTCTTGCCAACCTGGTACTCACTGTTGTAGACCAGGTTGTCCTTAGACTTTACAGTAATCCTCCTGTATCTGCCTCTGGAGTGCCAGGGATAAAGGCATATGCTCCCATGCCGGCCTCCTCTGTCCCCGTGATCAGTATTCCACTTGGAAGTTCCTCCACGGGCTGCTGGTATGGAAGCTTCCCTAAGGCAGGAACTCCATGGTTGCGTCCAGCTGATGTCTCGGCACCTGACACTTGATCAGCACTCGTTTGTCTTGTAAGCAAATGATTGCTCTCAAGCCCAAGCAGCCAGGCATGGCAGAACCAACCGAGAGCCCAGCTCCCTGAATGCTCTGTTGTCTGCTTGCATCTATGACCTGGGCTTCCCCTTATCCCTGAGAGAGCTTCATGGCGATACCTAGTGTCATCTGAGCTCTGGTAGAGGCTTTTCAAGTGTGGTCCTCAGCATCTTTGAGTGTGTGTGCGTACGTGCATGCGTGCGTGTGTGTGTGTGTGCATGCGTGTGTGTGCGTGTGTGCATGCGTGCGTGTGTGTGCGTGTGTGCATGCGTGCGTGTGTGTATGCGTGTGTGCATGCGTGCGTGTGTGCGTGTGTGCGTGCGTGCGTGTGCGTGTGGTAAGTAGTTATGCATACAGTTGAGTGCTTATGTAGAAACCAGAAGTCAACCTTGGACGGTGTTCCTCAAGACCAATCCTCCTTGCTTTTTTGAGACAGGGACTCACTACCCTGGCGCTTACCAAGTAGGCTAGGCTCACTGGCCAGCAATCCCCAGGGATCTACCGTCCCACAGTGAAATTATGGTGTGTGCTACTACGTCCAGCTTTCTCTGTGGGCTCTGGAGGATTGAACTCGGGTTCTCACGCTTGTGAGACAGGCAGTTCATCTACTAAACCATATTCCAGATCCTCAGTCGTGTTCAGTAGTTGGAATTGAAGTGAGGAGGCAAGCATTCCATCGTTAAGTTTAGCACCCCAGCACCTCTTTAGGGGATTCTAGGCAGGACCTCTATCACTGAGCAACGCCTCAGTCCTCCACTGCGGGATTCTAGGCAGTGCCCTACTGCTAAGCCACTCCTAGCCCTTCTTTCACTTTTCCTTCTGAGACAGGGTCTCACTAAGTTGCAGAGGTTGGCTTTGAACTCACTGTGCAACCTAGGCACATCCTGAGTTTGCCACCTTCCTGCCTCAGTCTTACAAGCAGCTAGGATAACAGCTTGTGCTACCAGCCCCAGCTTGCCTTCAGATTTTTTTTTAACCTAGAAAGAGTTGAGGACTGACTGAGAAGGGAAAACAGGTGAAGGACCAAGTACAGACAGAGTTGGGGGAAAATACTGAGATACAGAAAGGACAGTGTGTCTGTTGCTACTGGCAACAGTATTGAGATCCTTGGATGGGAATTCAGGCACACACTAGCCACTCAAAGCTTTATTCTTGCAACCACACAGGCTTGTGTTCCAATTCTGCCGCGACAGTAACCAGCCTTGTGACCTTGGGCAGATGGCAAGTGGCATTAGCTCTCTGAGCTTCTTTGTCACTAAAATAGGAATAGTAAAAGTGTCCCCTCTCGAGTTCTAGCCTGGAGTGAGAGCCCAGTCTCCTTGCCATCTCTCTCTGCTTCAACACCAGACAGGGAACAGGATGAGAGCAGGCTGGTCTGCCAAAGGACTGAGAGTTACCAATGCCCACAACTGTGGGTGAGGAGGGAGGGATGGCAAGAGATGCCTTCAGAGCAGCTCTCTGAGCTACAGGACTTTGGAGGATTAAGGGTACACCCAGGTAGGCTGTGGGTGGTAACTAGAAGGTACAAGAACCAAGTGTGGACCTGTCCCTAGTCAGGGAGGATCGTGCCACAGAATCCAGTCTGTTCCCCAAGCCTACCTGATATGCTCCTCAGGGGTAGAAAGCTCACATGCAAGAATGTCCCATCTTGGTTCTCCATTGTGCTCACCCCCATTTCTTGGACCCTCTGTTTTTGGTTTTGAGGCAAGGTCTCTTGTTTAAGGCTGGCTTTGAACTCTCTAGGCTCTAAGAACCCCTTCGGGTTTATAGATGTTCTGTCCCAGCTCTGTTCATTTGGGGTTTTGGGTGTGATATGGTATATGCACACTGTGTACAGGTGCACATGTGCAGAGGCCAGAGGAGGGCTTGGGTGTTCTGCTGAGTCGCTCTCTGCTTTATCCCTAAAGGTGGGGTCTCTCACTGCTCTTGGAGCTAGGCTAGTGTAATGCAGGCCCCAGTAGCCCTCCTGCTTCCTAACAGCAGTGTTAAAGGTCTGTGTGTGGTTTCAACATGGATCCAAGCTCTGGTCCTTCAGGTTGAATAGTAAGCATCTTACCCACTGAGTCATCTCACCATCCCCTACCCCTAAGTTTTTGTTTTGATTTTTGATAAGGTCTTGAGATATAGCCCAGGCAATCCTTGAATTCACACAAATCCTGCACAAGCTATTTTTTTTAAATATTTTTTATTTTACTTTATGTCTATGATCATTTTGCCTGCATGTATGTCTGTACAACACTTGTGTGCTCCTGGAACTGGAGTTACAGACAGTTATGAGCTGCCTTGTGGGTGCTGGGAATTGAACCTGGGTCCTCTGGAAAAACAGTAGTCAATGCTCTCAACCTCTGAGCCATCTCTCCCTCCCCATGCCTCAAATATATCTTAAGGACATCTTTGAGTGTTAGAATAACAGGACAGGGTGCACCAGCTATGTTGGGAGCAAAAAAGAAGCCTAGAAACATCAAGGAGGGGTCCAGTTGCTAGAGGATTTAGCATGCACAAAGCCCTGGGTTCGATCCCCAGCACCACATAAACTGGATTTGCTGGTACACACCTCTCATCCTAGCACTGAGGAGGCCAAGGGAAGAGAATCGCTATACAGTGAGTTCGAGGCTGTCCTGAATACATGAGAACTTATCTCAAAAATATAGTGGGGTTGGGGGGGGTGGAAAGAAGAGAGGAGAAAGAAAAAGAAGAAGGAAAGAAAGCTCAAGACATTTCCCTGTCCCCTGTCCCCACTGTCCTATCCAGTGCTCAGCATCGGGGAAGGAGGCTTCTGGGAAGGCCAGGTCAAAGGTCGAGTTGGCTGGTTCCCCTCTGACTGTCTAGAAGAGGTGGCAAATCGCTCCCAGGAAGGAAGACAAGGTAACCAGGAATGGTCTCCCTCACACACTACAACCTTTATGCCCTTCCTGCCCCTCCTGCCCCAGCTGATGGGGTGCAGGAGTCTGGGGATAGGCTTGAGTTTGCTGTTTACAAAGTCAGGAACCATGGTATTTTGTCCCTGCAGAAAGCCGAAGTGACAAGGCAAAGAGACTCTTCAGGCATTACACAGTGGGCTCCTACGACAGCTTCGATGCCCCAAGGTAAATGTCCTCACACCCTTAGGTCCCCGCCGCTCCTAGCTCCCTGTACATTCCCCACTTTAAGGCCTCTTTCTCATCTTGGTCAACTTGAAAGTTCAGAAAAGGCAGAATTCTGTTAATGAACAGCCCAATCCCAAATCCGTCCCTGGCAGCCACTGGGACCATCTAGTTTGGGGATACCCAAAACATGGGTTGGGGTATCTTGGGGCCCTGGGTTCTTGTGTGGGGGCTAGTTAGCAGTCCTGGTCTCCTTCCTGTTTCCCTATCTATGTGTAGTCCCATACTGTAGACATATGTACATCCTATGTGTTATACAGTGTGTGTGGGGTGGAACCAGCAGGACCCCATGGGTGGGGACAGAGAGAGGGGTACACTGACACCTGTCCCCTCCTTGGCTGCTGGCTGACTTGCTTCTGAAGTCTGATCGATGGGATTGACTCAGGGAGGTGAGAGGGGCGGGGTAGGGTGGGGATTGAACCAGGATGGGGTGCTTGTATTTGGGGGATGAGAATGTGTATATGTGCATGACCCGAGCTGAGGAGTCCCCGCGTGTGGACGCTGTTTGTCTCTGCCAGTGTGCATGACACATCCGCGTGCATGTACAGGCAGAAGGCCCTGAGTTGGATATCACTGTGAATATACCCTAACCAAGGCCGTGAGCTGCAGTTCTCAATGCACATGGGTGCATTGGTGTCAGTGTTGACTGCGTGGCTGGCTTTGCACATGTGCGCCTCTCTGGCTGCGGCAAGCAAGCCCTGCCAGAGCTGTCCATGTGCCTGCTCACACGTGAACAGGGGACAGATCTCTCTAGACACCCTGTGTTACTGTGTGTGTTTTTGCTGGCCCTGCTGTGTGTGTGTCTTCTCTATGACTGGTTCTTGGGTTCAGAACCTGGAATGCTGTGGGAGGGAAGGGCAGAGGAGGGGTGATTCCCTGGACACAGGGTTCTGCTCTGGGGAAGGGATGCCATAATGTACCGTCTGAAAGGTGACACCCTCCTCTGCCACCCCATCCCACCCCAACCCAGGGAAGGCTCTCCCTGTTCTCATTATCCCTCCATTAAATGTGTCCAAACCTGTGTCTGTGTTCTGGCCAGTGGGGGAAGGTCTGGGTTGCGGGAGGAGAAAGGAATGATACCACGGGTGGGGGACAAGGTGGGGCTGGGTGCCAGCCACTCTGCGCCCCAGGGTCTGAGGCGAATCATTTTGTGCCTGTTCACCTGGTACGTCTCTGGCTCTGGGCACCGGGTGAGTATGGAGGCTCCCTCTACCCCAAGTCGGCCTCTGAGGGGCGGTTCTCCTGGGCCTGGGTCTTGGGGTGATGTCACTTGTTCTAAAGACTGATGCGGAGGGGTCTCTTTCAACCCCAGTCTCCATCCTCCCTTTCTTACTAATATCCTGTCTTGAAGCCTTACCATTCCTGTCCCTTCTCCACGTCTCCTGGGGCTGCGATCCAAAGGCCCCTTCAGTACCGCCTTCCCTCTGCTCTTCCTGACCCAGTCTGCGGTGACCTGGCTCCTGTGCTCACACTCTACATCTTATTGTTGGTCCCCAGCATCTCAGCCAGAGCTGGGCCATGCTTGCTCGTGTACCTACCCCGTGGGGTGTGCCACCCTCTCTCCTCCTGCCTGGGGGAGGGGCCGTGAGGTGGGGGTCCATGGTTCTGGTGAGTGGTGGTGTGTGTGTGTCCCTCACGACTCTGTTTCGGTGTTCTGGGTCCCAGTTGAGTGTTTTAGGTCCCTCACCCCACCCCACCCCCTCACCCTGCCTTCTCTTACTATGTTGGGCACGACTTGTGTGTATGTCTGCACTGAGGATGAGCTGTTTACCCTCTCTTGGGGAGGGGTCGGCCTCTCTCAACCTTGGGTGTCCCTTGCCCCGAAAGTGTGGGGCTGTCTGCCTGCTTGTCCCTGCACGCCACATGCTGTGGCGAGGCGTCTTAAATGATGTGTGGCGCTGCGTCCTTCTCCCTGCGCTCCCGCTCTCTGGCTCGCTCTCTCTGCACCTGCGCGAGAGGACTCTGTAAAGGGGGAGGTATAGTGCGCGGGGGGGGGGGGGGGGCCGGCGGGGCCCCCCCCTCCCCCTCCCCGAGTCTTACCCCTCCCCCTCCTCCCGCCAAAGGGGCCCCTGCGTTACCCTCCCCCGCCCGCCCCCCCACTCCTCCCGGCTGCCCGGCGCAGGACGCCAAGGGGTTAACGCGGGGCCGCGGCCGCCTCCGGAGCTGTCCGCGGTGCTGGAGCCTCAGCCATGCACTGTCCCCTACGCGCCCGCCGCAGCATGTGAGCCCCCCCGGGGCTGCCCGCCCTCCCGAAGGGGGGTGCGCGCCCCCTCCCCCGGCCCCTCCCCCCTCCCGGCACGGGTCAGCATGAGGCGGGGCCTGGGGGCCCGGACACGGGGGTTCAGCCGAGCGGGGACGGGGACGCGGCGGCGGCGGCGACGGCGGCCGCGGTGGTGGCGGGGGCGGCCCGGATCGGGACCTGGGCCGGGGCCGGGGCCGCGGTGGCGATGGCTTTGTCTGCAGTCGGGGGTGGCCCCGGCGGGGGCGCCCTGCCCCAGCCGCCCCCTGCGCTCTCCTCCAGCTGGCCGGCGCTGGGGCCCCGGCGGCGCAGCGTCTGGTACATTTACAGGTAACGGCGCGCAACCCGCTCGTCCCTGGCACGACCCTCCGTGCGTTCAGGGCCCCCAGACCTGTCCACTTTCCTCTTCGCAGCCTCCGTTCTTTAGGCCTGAGCCCTCCCAGACCCTCTCTCAGCAGCTCAGCACCCGCCTCTCTTCCTCCTCCCTTCTTCCTGTGCCTCAGACGCTGCTCCAGGGCCTCCTGTGCTCTCCAAGACTTTTTGCCCACCCTCCAATGAAAAGAGCCCACTACAGCTAGACTCTGCAACCCACTCTTGCCCTTTCTGGCAGCCCTAACTCCCCTACTCTAAGGAGCCCTTTCCCAGGGCCCCCCCAGATACCCCAAGCCCCCTAGCCCTCCAATCTTCCGCATCCCCGCCCCTCTTCCTAGAGTCAGCAAGTCCCCCCATTCATACCCCTGTCTCCCATTCACAGTCGGTCCCCCAACACACACCTCCATCACACAGGCATCCCGCCCCCGGCCTTCCCTCCCCTCCTCTTTTCCGCTGCGTGTCACTGTGCGGCTGTGCGTGTGTCAATGATGTGTGTGCCTATGACCGCCTGCGTGTGTGTGAGGGACAGACAGAAATGGAGAGGCTGTGGGCTCCAAGCCCCCCCCCCCGCCTATGTCCATCTGTGTGTCCCTGCGTGGGGGGTGTCTGTCTCTGTGTGACTTAGAACCATAGCGAGGCTGTCTGGGGACTGTGTGCGTATGTACGCCTATGTGTCTGTATGCGTGCGCGCACACGTGAGTGTGTGTGTGTGTGTGTGTGTGAGAGAGAGAGAGAGAGAGAGAGAGAGAGAGAGAGAGAGAGAGAGAGAGAGAGAGAGAGAGAGAGAGAGAGAGAGAGAGAGAGAGAGAGAGAGAGAGAGAGAGAGAGAGAGAGAGAGAGAGAGAGAAAGCATCTGTCCCAGAGACTGCGGCTGTGTTTCCCAACACCCAACCTCCTCTGCCTTGGCCTGCCCCCTCCTCCCCCGCTCTTGTGTTTCTGTCCCCACGTACCCTGCTCCGTGCCCCCAGGAGTCTTTGCATGGGGAGGGACGACCCTGACGCCCGAGGTTCTACCCTCTGCGGGGATGGGGGCACGTGGGCTGAACCTCGTCAAGCTTCTGCATGGGGCTCTGGCACCTGCCTGTGTGCTGCTCTCAGCATGGGGACAGGGGCCGACTTGCTTGCATGCGGGGGCCCTGTGCAGGCCGTGGAGAGGCCTGCCGAGATAGGAACGCAGGGAGGGAACTGAGGACCTGAGGGAACACTGTGGATGGCAGCCGGCTCCAGGCTGTTGCATCCTGAGTGGGCAAGAAGGACCTGGGGTGGGGGTGGGGAGCAGTCGCGCCGCAGTCTCCATGAGGGAACCAGACCTTCTCTGGGACACGGAGGGATGGCCTGGGGAAGGACATGGTGCCAGCTCCTGATGGGCAGGTAGTCTGCACCACATACGGTGGTGCTGTGTGTGCACTGGAGGGGGTGCGGGGAGGGGGGAAGTGCGGGTTTGCTGGACAGAGGGGAAATAAGATGTGTGGGTACTGGAAAGGGTTTGGGTACTGGAGTTTGGGGGTGCTGAGTGCCAAGAAAGGTGCCGAGATGAGAATGGAAGACAGGCGGTAGGAAGAGGATTTGGGGGCGGGGACCGGGCACCAGAGCCTGGAGTTTGCAGGGAATGTGAGCATAAGCGGCTGCTGGGAAAACCAACCTAGTCCGTGCTGTGGATACCCAAAGGAGAAAGAGCTTTCCATGGATGGCGGGGCACGCAGTGAAAGGGATGTGGAGGCTGTTGGGGGACACCACGAGCTTATCTATATAGTTGGCAAGAGAATGTGGGGGCCCGAGGCCCAAGAATTTTGGAGAGGAGGCAGACAAGGGTGAAGAGATTGTAGAAATACAAAGAGGACCCTTGGAAGAAGGGATGAGCAGAGTGACTGGGAGCAGGGGTGATTTCCCCGTATATCCTAAGGATACCGTCAGACCGGCTGTCTGATGAGGTAGTCTGGGGAAACATGGAGACATAGGATGGTGCAGAGGGAGGGGTAGAAGAGGGAGGAGGCAGAAAAGCAGGTACTACATCAGGCACAGGGCACACAAAGGTACAGAGACACTGAAGCATGCTGGGGTCCATGTGCCGGGGAGGAACAGATGGGAGTGCTTTGGGAATGGAGAGAATTGGGTGCTACTGGGACGTGTGGCTTTCAGGAAACCTAACTGGTGGTCTTTACCATTCTAGCTGGTGTGATCTTGAGCAGGCCCTTCTTCTGTGCTTCAGTTTACATAGTTTAAAGATGGGAACACTCGCAATCAACCCCACTCAGGAATGTTGTAGTGACTTAAATATTAATGACCTAAAAGTGGTTGGCCATGCATGGTTTGTAATGTATCACTTGTGTTACTGGCTGAAGTTAGGATAAACCCCAGAGGCTGGATAAGCAGTCCGGGGCTGTCTTGGTTAGGGTTTCAATTGCTGAAACAAACACCGTGACTGAAAAGCAAGTTGAGGAGGAAAGGGTTTATTTGGTGTATACTTCCACAACACTGTTCATCATAAGGAAGTCCAGACAAGAACTCAACCAGGGAAGAGTCCTGGAGACAGGAGGTGATGCAGAGGCCATGGAGACGTGGTGCTTACGGGCTCTCTTCCCATGGCTTGCTCAGTCTGCTTTCTTATAGAACCCAGGACTTCCAGCTCAGATGTGGCACCACCCATAATGGGCTGGGCCCTCCCCCATCAGTCACTGATTAAGAAAATGCCCTACAGCAGATCCTATGGAGGCATTTTCTCAGTTAAGGTTCCCTCCTCTCAGATAGCTCTAGTTTATGTGTCAAGTTGACCTAAGGCCAGCCAGCATAAAGGTCGCCTGATCAGCTTTGGAAATGTGTGTCTGAGGTGTTTGGGTGGTGTGACATGAAAGAAATTCTAACTGACGTCACCCGAATATTCTCTTAGGTATTGAAGATTCCTTATCAGCTAGGTATAATGGTACACACCTTAAATTCCTAGCGCTTGGGAGGCAGAGGCAGGCAGATCCCTGTGAGTTTGAGGTCAGCCTGGTCTTCAGAGTGAGCTCCAGGACAGCCAGGGCTCCACAGTGAGACCCTGAATGGAGAACAAGCACACAATGTTACTGTGTGTCTCAGGAGAGTTTCTTAACCTGTCTGTGACTTACTTCCTTGCCTATAAAATGGAACTTAGTAGTGTTTAAGTCTTCTCCGTGGACTGGGTGTGAGGAGATACCCAGTGGGTCTGCTGTGAAGGGTTTTCAATGCTGCCTGGCCTGTAGTGAGCTGTGGCCTTGGCATGTGAACAACAGGCTCAGATCTGAGGTCAGGGTACGGGATGAGGTTTATGTGTCAAGCTAGGGCTGAAAGAGATTGCAGAGTTGGATGTGGTGGCTAACATACATCACCCCAACAGTAGGAAGGCTGAAACAGTCTACAGTGTGAACTGTAGACTAGACTGGGAGAGAGAGAGAGAGAGAGAGAGAGAGAGAGAGAGAGAGAGAGAGAGAGAGAGAGAGAGAGAGAGAGAGAGAGAGAGTGGGGAGAGGGGAGGGTGGCAGGCATGCATGAATGACTGAAGGTGACTTTGCCTTGGCGAGGTGTAAAGGGGCAGCATGACGGGCACTGTTGCCTCATGGGGAGGTTCTTGGCATGTGGAGAGAGTGTCAGAGTAGTAAGAACATAAGGGCTTAGAAAAGGTCGTCACCCTGTGTCGGGATGAGACTGCCACAGAATACAATAAGAGCCAAAGTGCCCTGACCTCTGGATTGTCCCCAGACTGTCCATTGGCCTCACCCTTCTAGCCTCCTTAGACCCATTTCTCTCATCCTCCCACCCCTCCCCTTTCTTCAACCCTTCAATCTTCTCCCAGCACCTGCTTCATGCAGCTGCAAAGACTGCTGGGAGGGAGGAAGGGGAGGGCTGTGGGGGAGGAGGCGGGAGCCTGTGGACAGGCTTATTGGCCTCTGGGGCAGCACAATGGCTGGGGTATGCCTCTGTGTGCATGCATGATGTGGGGCCCATTAAACACAAGGAAGGAGGCAGCACACAGGCACGTGCAGAACACCCACTGGTGTACAGGAGCATGGGTCTTTACCGTGGATGCTCACAGAGGGTACTGACGGGGTACGGTGGCACTAGAATACAGTAGGCACACAGTTAGGTGTTATCCCCATGTGCTGGGAGGTACTCAGAGGGCGTGTGATGGGAATACACTGATATCAAAGTGAGGGGAGTCAAAATCAGGGCATACTGGGATGTGTGGGGGTGTCACTGAAATATACTGGAGTACTTGTGGAGGGCTGTTAGCTGAATATGTGGGGGTAGGTAATTGGGGAACCCGCATGGATATTATTGGAGTGGCTGAAAGCCACACAGATCGAGCTGAGGTTTAGTGTGTGTGGAGGGGTTGCTGAGCATTGCTGCAGAGAGAGAGGGAGCATGGCGCTGACCCTGGGTTCTAGATGCTAACAAAGAGGCACTGCAGTGCGTGTGTTCTGGAGTGTTCTGAGAGGAACTGGCTTGAGGCAGAGCAGCAGTTCAGGTGTTCCTGTCGTACACTGGGATGAGCAGGCGGAGAGAGCGTGGAGTGGGGTGCAGTGGTGATCCAGGACTGAGGCTGTGCTGCAGCCAATCTGAGGAAGCAGGAAAGCAGGTGCTATGATTGGAATTTTATCCATTTCCTGTGTTTGCATCCTACTAAGATGTCCTAGTGAGATATACGGCTTTAGAATTAACACCATATTCAGGGGGAGTTGGTGTTTACTTTTTCTAGTACTGGAGATGGAACCCAGGGCCTTTGTGCATGCTAAGCAGGTGCTCTACTATTGATCCATACCCTAGCAAATGTTCTAGGAAGAAGCCTCCAGCCCCTCGCTGGGGGATTTTAGGCAGGGGCTCTAGCTCTGAGCCACACCCCAGCCCCTCACTTGGGGGGTTCTAGGCAGGGGCTCTAGCTCTGAGCCACACCCCAGCCCCTCACTTGGGGGTTCTAGGCAGGGGCTCTAGCTCTGAGCCACACCCCTAGCTCTCTTTTCACGCGATGTCTTCAGACAGAGCCTCACTAAGTTACTCGGGCTGATCTTGAGCTTTTGCTCCTCCTCTCTCAGCTCCTCCCCAGCAGCTGGGCTTGCATCATCAAGACTGGTAGTTGGTGTGTGACCAGAGTGTTCTGACAGCCTATGTGTGGCACACTGGACACTTCTCAAGGGATGCAGCAGTCAGCACTGTCCATCGGAACTTTCAGTAACTGACAGGAGTGTTCTGTGTCATCAGGGACACTACATGGCCACCATAACTGAGGAACTGACACTTTAAAATAGTCCTATGCAGCTAGAGGCTGCCATACTGGACAGGGCAAAGTAAACATTGTTTCAGTCTGTCCTCTGGAGGCCTTCCTGTAGTAAAAGAGATGAGGTGTGTTTGTACATTCGCCTCTTGGCTTAGCACCTTGGCCTATGACATGGTGTGGGTCCTGTGCCCTACCCTGTGTGTGTAGTACGACTCTGGATGTCTCACAGTCTTCTCAGCCAGGCCCTCAGGACAGACTTGGTAACTGAAGCACAGAAGGTTAAAGTCATAGGTTCAAGGTCACAGACAGGACACTGCCAGCCAGCACCCATTCAGGGCTGTGATCATTCACAGCCTCTTCTGCCCACCCCACTGGGTGCCTGGTGCGCTGTGGGCTCGGTAACAGCTCTGCTGAGTGGATGGGTGGATGGATTCACGGAAGGATGAATGAGGAAAGAGTGGGTGGAAACCGGAGCACCCCGGGCTTTGAGGGGGTGTCTGGAGCATAAGTACAGACTGGATGGGAGTGGGGAACTGCAGTGAATGGTCTCCATGCAGAGCCTGGGGCACCCTGTGACTGGGTGGGGCACCAACTCTGTGCCTCATGAGTCCTTCTCCACCCCCATCCCTTCCTCCTGCCTCCTGCCAGTGATTACATCATCAAGGAGAAGACAGTCTTACTGCAGAAGAAGGACAGTGAGGGGTTCGGGTTCGTGCTACGGGGGGCCAAGGGTGAGTGCTGGCCGGGGAGGGGACGGGAGATCCTCTCTGACCCAAGCAGTAGGGCCTGGATAGGGAGGACGGAAAAAGAGAAGGGACCCCCCCTACACACACACCCTAAAGCCCACCCATTGCCCCACCCTGGGGTGCTGGTCCCTCAGCTCCAGTGAGTCCACTGTGACTTGGTCTGAGCCCCATCCCCTGCTCGGCCTCTCCACCCCCTCCCCTCCGACCCCGCCGGCTCCTCCCCGTCTGCAGCGCAGACCCCCATCGAGGAATTCACCCCCACCCCGGCCTTCCCGGCGCTGCAGTACCTCGAGTCTGTGGACGAGGGTGGCGTGGCATGGCGGGCTGGACTACGGATGGGAGACTTCCTCATCGAGGTGAGCCCCAGCCACACTGTCCTTCTGGGGACCCTGGGGACAGACTGTCACCTGCTCTCCACATTCAGCAACTCTCCCTGGACCATTGAGAGGTGCCCACACCAGAGTGGTGGCTCACACCTGTCATCCCAGCTAGCCATCTCAAGGAAATTGCCACTACCACTAGTTCAAGGCCAGCCTGGGCTACCTAGTGAGTTCCAGGTCAGCCTGGGCCACAGAGTAAAACTGTACCTAAAAATATAAAAATGAAGTATCATAGAATTGTCCCCCAACATATGCAGTACAGGGACATGAAGGGTGTGCAGGTCAGCCCATTCCTGGGGACACGGGAATTACAGGGAGCCGTGGAAGGGTTAAAGAATGAGAAAGGGTGGGGTAGAAGGTCACTCGGTCTGGGACTCGGGAGCTGAAGGTCTTCTACCCTCTCCTTCACGACACAGGTGAATGGACAGAACGTAGTGAAGGTTGGCCACCGTCAGGTAGTCAACATGATCCGCCAGGGAGGCAACACGCTGATGGTCAAGGTGGTAATGGTGACCAGACACCCAGACATGGACGAGGCTGTCCACAAGAAAGGTACTTCTTCACCGCTGTCACCGTAGCTGTCGTGGAGAGCTGGCCTGGCACACACAGAGCCCTGGGCTCCAGCCCCAAGGCTGCAGGGAGGGACATTATGGTGCACACCTGCAATCTCAGCACTCAGGAGGTAAAGGCAGGAGGATCAGAAGGCGGAGACCATCCTGGGCTACTAAATGAGTTTGAGTTAGTCTAGGCTACGTGATACTTTGTATCAAAACAAAGGGGCACCTCCAGCCACCAAATTAAGACTCTTAGGGTCACTCCTCAACCCCCCACAAGGCTCTCCTTTCCCCTCAAGGCCTGCCTGTTCATAACCTTTCTGGGGAGAAACTGAGGCAGAGAGGGCTCAGCGTGCTGGGGTGCTGTTCTCAGAGTTCTGGAAGCACAGTGGAAGGAATGGGTGTCGAGGGGTCTTCTCCCGGCAACACTGACACCTCCCGCCCACCCCCACCTTTCCAGCATCCCAGCAGGCTAAGCGGCTCCCGCCCCCAGCCATCTCCCTGCGTTCCAAGTCTATGACCTCAGAGCTGGAGGAAATGGGTGAGCCTGTGGGGCTGCCGGGGCTGAGGGCCAGGGGCGGCCAGGGGCAAGGGGCTGGACCACCCTTGACTTTGTCAGTGTTGTTAGTCACGAGGGGTCCTCGTCCTCCTCCTGTCCCGCCCCCCCTCCATGTCCTTGGGCCAGGTTCTGTGGCCTGCCTGTGTGTCACTGGGGAGTTTTTGAGTCTCCCCCTGCCCTCTTGTATCTCTGTTTCTCTGTCCTGGGTCTCTGGGGGTCTGTATGTGTCCCCCTACCATGGGTCACTCTCCTTTTGTCCCCTACCCTTTCTTCTACTGTCTCTCTACCAACAGAGGAAGGTTAGCGACTCCTAGCAGGCAGAATATCATGACCTGGGGTGGGTCTCATTTTCCTCTGACCTGGGGCCAGTTGGGCAGATGAATGACTATCCCGCTACCCGGGTCCTTAGGGAGGTGGGCATTCCAAAGAGGGGTCCCTCACCTCCCCCTGATGTCCTAACTCTTGGCTCCTCTGCTGTCTACCCCTGGGCTAGTCTCCCCCTGGAAGAAGAAAATTGGTGAGTGGGTTCAGGTCTGGTGGGAGGGCCCAGTCTCCTGACCCCAGCGGCGGATTCACCCTTCCCTTGACCCCAGCCCCTCACTGCCCCCACCTTGTGTTGGCCACACTTGCTGGTCCACACCTGCTGGCCATGCCCTCTGCAGGGGTACCCTTGAGCTTCATCCCTCTCCTTTGCCCACAGAATATGAACAACAGCCAGCACCAGTGCCCAGCATGGAGAAAAAACGGACCGTGTATCAGATGGCACTCAGTAAGATGCCACAGCATGGCTCCCTAATGCCAAATCCCCCCTCCCAGCCTTTGAGGATGCTGCATGCATTCGGGCCCTCCTCCCTGGGTGCCCCTCAGACACCTGGGAGCTAAGCACTTGGGGCCCTGGAAACCGGTTACATCATTGTGTTACCCACTCTCCTGTGCTTGTCATCACTGGGCCCTGCCTGCTGGACTGGGAGGTGTTCCCAGAGACAGGACTAGGACCACAAGAGCCCCGAGGTGGCCCGGTCTCTGTGGTAGGCCACTTGCATTGTCTCTTTGACTGTCTTCACTCCCCGCAGACAAACTGGATGAGATCTTGGCCGCTGCTCAGCAGACCATCAGTGCAAGCGAGAGTCCTGGGCCTGGTGGCCTTGCGTCCCTGGGAAAGCACCGGCCCAAAGGGTTCTTTGCCACTGAGGTAGGTACCCTGGTGTGAGAAGGAAACTGAGGGGCTCGCGTGCAGGTTTGAAGACGCCCAAGTGTCTTCATGTGAGCTCCACACTCGTCTTGAGAAGTACCACACTTCCTTCCTCCTCTCTCATCTCCCTCCATTCTTGACCATTCTGCTTCTCATGTTAAGTCTCATCCGCCCTTTCCTTCCCATTTTAGGGACCTCACGTAAGACAAAGTAATGCTATAGAGATGTAGCATGATGGTTCATGCCCATCATCCCAGATCCTGAGAAACTGAGTCAGGAGGGTTGCTGTAAGTTTGAGACCAGCCTGATCTACATAGGGAAATCTTGTCTCCAGATCAAAAAAAAAAAATTAAGAAAATGATGTCATAGTTATATATCCTCAGCATAATCCTAGATGCTCAACAGATGTTAGATGGCTATTAAAATATTGATGCTGTGACTGGAGAGACAGCTCAGGGGTTGAGAGTATATATTGTTCTTGCAGAAGGCTGGTGTTCAGTTCCCAGAACCCCCTGGGGCTGCTGACTACTGCCTATAACCCCAGCTCCAGGAGCTCTGATGCCCTCTCCTGCCCGCCCAGGGCACAGCACAGTCCATTGCACAGTCCCACATGCAGACACATGGACACACACATGATGTTTTAAAAATAGAGTTGAGAGTGATTGAAGAAGAAACCTAAATCCAACCTACACACACACACACATACGCATGAAGGTGTGCACACACATATACACACACATGCATACACACTGTGAACAATGGCTCTCCACCTGCCCTTCCCCACAGATAAAGGCTGGTCTGTATCAAGTACTTGTTCAACAAATTTCAGATATGGTGCTCCACACAGATACCTCATGCCTGCCTTAGAATCTCCCTGTGAGGGATGCTGCAGTGGTTAGCGCGGTACAGGTACCTCATGCCTGTCTTAGAATCTCCTTGTGAAGTATGCTTGCAGCGGTTAGCGTGTTACAGGTGATCCTCATTCCTGTCTTAGAATCTCCCTGTGAGGGATGCTGCAGCGGTTAGCGTGTTACAGGTGATCCTCATTCCTGCCTTAGAAGCTCCCTGTGAGGGATGCTGCAGTGGTTAGCGCGGTACAGATGTGGAGCCTGGGCTCTTCTTCCTGGGCCCTGCTGGCTCTGCCCCATGGGTTTGGCTCTCTTACACCAACACAGGCACACCAGACAAACCTGTGTGTCCACACCGCCTGGCATCTCTCTATGCCTTCTGCCTGCCACAGCTCTGTCCTCAGGTAAGCCCAGGGTCTGCTTGGCAGACTGGTGTGGGCTCCTCAGCTCTGCTTACTGCATCTCTGTCTTAGAGCAATGCTCATAGAGACCACCCGTGACATAGACGAAAGCCAGTCCCTGAAATAGCTGTTCTGTGGGGCTGAACCTAGGGTCTCCTGCATTTTTTTCTTTTTCGTTTGTAGCCACTTCTTAAGTCAGACTTTTTTTTTTTGTTGAGAAAAAAAAAATTCTGCCTCCTCCCCGCCTCCCATTTCCCTCCCCCCTCCCTTTTCCCTCCCCCTCCGCCCACTCCTCTCCGGTCTCCTGCATTTGACCACTGAGACATACCTTCAGCTCCGTCACTGGGGGGGTCCTAGAAAAGGGCTTTACCACTGGACCGTGCCCCTGGTCCCTCACCGAGGAGATTCTAGGCCAGCAGTTCTCAATGTGTGGATCAGGATCCCTTTTGTCAGACATCCTGCATATCAGATATTTATATAACATTCATAACAGTAGCAAAATCACAGTTATGAAGTAGCAATGAAAATAATTTTACAGTTGGGGTCACCGCAGCTTGAGGAACTGTATTAAAGGGTCTCAGTGTTAGGAAGGTTGAGAACCACTGTTGTAGGCAGAAGATTTATCACTCAGCTACTCCCAGCCTCTCACTGGGGGATTCGAGGCAGTGACTTTTCTACTGAGCCACACCCCCAGCCCCTCATTGGTGGGTGCTATGTAAATACCGTAAATACTCTCCAACCTTCAAAATAAGTTTTAAGTGAATTCTGAAGTCAGAAGAAGTGGCTCACACCTATAATCCAAGCATTCCAGAGACTGAGGCAGGAGGATTGCCATGAATTTTAAGGACCAACCTGTCCTACCAAGTGAGACCAACACAGAAAACCGAAGGATAAAACAGATTAGTTGCTACAGCAATATCGGTGTGGCACCTAGGTGCTCTAGCTGCAAAGTCCGCAGCAGCATAAACACTGTAGAAATGAGCCACTGCTTGATGGGGTGGGAAATCTCTGCAAACTCTTGGGGGGGGGTGGCCAGCCATCTCGGCAAGACTGGCTTGCTACCTTAGCTTTAAGGGAGAAGAGGGCTGAGTTTTCCACTGGATGATGTGAAGACAGGTTGTCATTTGTTCCCTCGGACCACACACTCCAACCCCAGAGAGCCTGCACTTTTATGCAGAGGCAGGGAGCAGGTTTTGCAGCCAGACTCCTGAAATTCCCAGGAAATTCTTCTCTGGCTAGCAGAGTGTCCTGCAGGCCCCGCACTCCCGTCATGCCTGTCCTGGGTTTCTTAGGGTGTCGGAAAGGTCTGCAGTTGTTAGGGTGGGTGATTGCTGTGCTGTCCTGCCGCACAAGGCCAGAGCAGGAAAAAAGGGAGAGCTAGGTGTGCACCCGGTAGACAAGTGAACACTCTGCAGGGGCAAGGCCCAGTGTTCAGTGAGAGCTGGGTGTGCACCCGGTGGACAACTGAACACTCCGCAGGGGCAAGGCCCTGTGTTCAGTGAGAGCCAAGAGTGCAGTCGGTGGACAAGTGCACACCCAGCAGGAGCAAGGCCCCGTGTTCAGTGAGAGCTGGGTGTGCACGCGGTGGACAAGTGCACACCCAGCAGGAGCAAGGCCCTGTGTTCAGGCTGCAGCACCAAGAGAAAGGAGGTGGCAGGCAGGAAGAGAGTGTGGGTGAAAGGAGCGGAGAATTGATGGGGACGGGAGGCAGACAGAGAAGGGAGTCAGAGGGCACAGGTCTTTCAGCCAGGCTGCGTTCTCCCTGTGTGACTTTGAACCACACTATCTCACCCCCAGCATTTGTTTCCTGACCTGTAGAATTTTGAAGCTTGCTGCACTCAGGAGGGTCGAGTGAGGTCAGCTCCTGTCCCGCAGGGCTCTCAAAAGCAGCAGTCTTCCTCTGCGGCCTGGTGCTGTCACCCTCTGATCTCACTCCAGCACATCCCTTCTGAGCCGCAGGGTCCCAAACTGTCCCGACAGCCCATCTCTTGTGCGTGTGCTCATGTGTGTGCGAGCACAGACTTTGGTGTCACCCATCTTGTTTGCTGAGGTCTCCTGCTGCACCTGGAGGTCACTGATGAGGCTAGCCTGGCTTGTCAGCGGGTCCCGGAGAGCCGTGTGTCCTCCCACTCAGCGCTGTGATTCCAGGGGCAAGCCACCACTCCAGGCCTTTCCTGCAGGGTCACGGCAAGCATTTTACCAACTGAGCCATTCCCCAGCCTCAGCTCTTAAGTTTTAATACATCTATCCCTTCCTTCTTAACCATCTAGCTGGTGCTTGAACAAATCTAAAGACAGGAACTCACACGTCCTATTGTAGTGTCTCTCCGGATGGACAGACTTCTAGAGAGCTCTTCCTTACATGGCCCCCAAATCTACCTTCCCTGACCCTTCAGTGAACCTTTTCATCACCGTCTTCTCTGACAAGTTTCCTTGGAGAGGAGAAAAGATCACCTCAATTTTCTAGATGACAGACAGATGTTAGGGAACTGAACTCGCTTGCTCAGGCCTCTCGGCAATGTCTATCCAATCCAAGCAGAGCTCTGTTGAGACTGGCCCCACTCCTTAGCTAACCCAAGC